TATGGAGGAACCGGCATCAGGCACTGGCTTTAGTGACTTTACCGATATAGTTCCCTCCAGGAGCAGTTGCTGTTCATTCGATTTTTTCACTCCTTCCTGGTGGAGATCTCCCGACTCTCTACTTCGTTTCCCCTTTGTTTCAAAGAGGGTTACTTGCCTATCCCTATCAGAGGCGTTCTCTGGTTGAGCAGACGTAGGGCTGCCGTCAGTTAGTGCAGGCCTTTCTGTGTTATGTCGTTGCTGACGCAGTGTCCGCGGTTTTGGTTGTGCATCCTGGACTGTATCTTTACAGAACTGTTTTTCGTTTGTGCTCTCGAATACTTCCCTCTCCTTTCGGCTTTTAATTAAACTACACGTAGTGAATTCGGACAAAACAACACCAGCGTCAATAAACCCAGATTCCGTTGAAGCATCTGCATTGTCTGGAGTACTTGTGTTTCTCTCACCACTACTGTTACGGCAACCGCCTAACAGATCTTCCTGCAGGGAATGAGCATCCTCAGGCAAAATTGTTCCCATCGCGTCTGAGATAGGTTTCTCCTCTGAAACACTAATCATAAAGGGGGTCTGGCCGCTAGTGCTCTGAGAAGAGTTGAGGATTTCAAGGGCGCCTATACTGTTGTCGTTTGCTTGCGCAAAAGACGACTGAATGGTCTTGGGAGTTGTAATAGTGGGCGCATCGGTGGAGCTATCGGAGTCATGTCGATCCCTTGTGTGTCCGATGGGCTCTGAGCGGGGACCTGCGCTCTCAGAGCGGCATTTAGCCCTGTGGAGATCGTTTTTCGCCATTGCGGATCTTGCCAGACCCTGGCCACTCTCCAAAGATTTGCGGCGTGCCAATCTGAGATCGGAACTGTGCACGTTTTGCTGATCCACCGGCACAGAGGAAACACTTCCCACTGTGTCATCACTCGGGCCAACCGCCGCCGCGGATACAGAGCTTGGACGACTAAAAAGAATGAAGCTCTCTGATCGGTCAGTAGCGGGTAGGAAGGTAATCGGGTCCAAGCTGAGATCCCACATTGAGGAAGAATCCTGGACCTCGGGAGTGTCTAATTGAAGCAAGGGAGCGGAGGGCGAGGAAAATGACAATACTACATTCAGTAACGTGCAGCAACAAAAACATTTCACTGGTACCGAAACATAAAACAGTGCGCAAACACTCAGGAAAATGAGTGCATAATAATAAGTTGGTGCAAAAACGTAAAAACAAATAAACAGCAACAGTGACAAGATTACTACTACATGCCAGTTGTTGTGAGGCGACAACTTGGAGAAGAAGACGTGCTGAGAGACAAAACATACAGACGACACCACTTCGCAACTTTCCTAATCTACTGTGCTTGAATGCAAACAATTTATAAAACCAAAGGTATGCTTTCGAAGAGACAGAATTAGAAGGCCTATAGATTTAAAAAGATGAACACCTGCGAAGAGGTGTAAGAATCGTCTAAATTTAGTCTCGGCCATTTGAGTGAGATCAGAATTTATCACTAAATTCAGCAATTCACACCGCTTAATTTTCTTCACATTATGGTCCTCGGAAGACATTAGTAATCAGTTAATGACAGACGTTTCAGAAACTGGGATCATAAATTGCATTAGACATGCAAGAGAGAGTAAAGTGACGCGAATTCTAACAGAGCGACGGAGGAAAGGGAACTAAGTCCAAATGCTTTGAGGTTGAACAAAGATTATTTAGAGTCCTGCTGCTCCAAACGAAGGTTAAACCAGACTGAAATAAAAGTAAAATTCCCTTCTTGACGAGATTACTAGTTCGAAGGCCCAGGCATGCTCAAGTAGATGCAAGTCGTATGGGTAAGGGTGAGCTGTGTTGCTTAACTATCCGAGGACAAAAACAGTTGTTTTTGCCAATTTACGCTGCCTCATTAACGCTTCGTTTCACACGGGAATTCGGGCTTAGAGTCCTCGCAGACAGTCGCGCGACGACAAACAAATCAGCAAATAAAACTACTACCAACAGAGATAAGGGAAATTGAAAGGGCAACTTCCAGTATATTTGCTGTTGTCGGCCAGCCATTCGCGAATTCCAAAGTGGGGAGATTCGGGCTCAGTTGGCAAGCGGGTCGACACTCCACAACCGAACCAAATATTCTCAAGTGGTGAAAGTGCGACACAAATTTGGCACTTTCAAGCAATGTTTAACTAATTTCTCAGCGCACTGCTTCAGCGGTACGCAAGGGTGTTGGGGGAAAATCGGCAGGATATGAGGAGATTGATCATGAGCCAATACATATATTATGCTTATCAAAGTGTTATCGCAAAGACCAGGGACAGCAGAATGGGCACTTCTGGCCTATCAGTCGTCATCAGCCAGTGGTGTTCCAACTTCGGCTGCTGGCGCACCCGCGGTTTGAACAAAAACTCCAGAGGGTAACTCGAGCTTTAAGTCCGAGGCCCTACGCACTCGAATTACTTGGCTTGCTTCTTGTCCGATGAGCTCTGGAATATGTAAGGTCACGTGCAAGTGGCAGAAATTAGCACTTCCCTCTGCCCTGGGGCTACGGGTTTAGAACCCCCATCCAGGCTTTCACGTGGCGACGAGCAATCAGGCATGCGACAGTGTTACCGACATAAGCAGCAGAGGGATAGAAATCACAATGGACTCTTTTAGGGAGTTGACGAATTTAATAAGCAAATTTCTGTTCAGGTCACAGGCGTGTCTTCTTCGTATTCTTCAGTTCATATTTTTTAAGACCTAAAAGATCGAGCAAGGTTAGTCAATACAAAACACTACCAAAGTTAAAGCAGAGCTGACCCCGAAGCTACCGCACGCGTTAATTTTCAGGGAAAGGATGATCTTTCCAAACGTAAGGTCGCTGGAAAAATTCGCAGAGCTTAAAATTTGGCTCATAGTTGGGTATAAAAATGACAAATGCGTGCGAGAAGCTCGTAAACTATTAACTATTTTCTGGTAAACAAGGGGTGCTTTGACTGAGTGCCAAAGGGTTTTATTAAAGTTATGCGTCTTAGTGTTCAACAGCAGATAATTGGGAGATAACCTCGGACTTGTGCCCGACGGTATTGTCTGAAGCTATGAGATTTCACTCTCCCAGATCGTTTAATATAAGCATAAATGGAAAAACTGGACAGGGAACAGGTGCTGCTACAAAGTCGCGTCTGATTTAAAAAAATTCGAGCACAATCTTGGAGAAGTAATGAGGTTTGAAAAAAATCCATTTGTGAAACTACTTTAGTACCTTCCGCGTCATGGTCGAAGGCCTTGAGACAAATAAAACTTTCGAAATAACGGCCACTGGCCCTGAACATGACGCAGTTATTGTGGAAAGACGTCACGGTGGCACTGCTCCATCAGAGCTTCAGGATCCTAAAATTATGTGAAACTGCTGCGCACACACGAGACAGCTGCTTATCCACCTCGAGCTAACATACGAGTGCGCCAATTTTTAGCGAACAACCAGGGAGGTTCGTCCACACAACCTACAAGTCCGGGAAGGTCTCATTTATGCGCAAGGCCACAAGGGTCCTACAAGCTAGGAACAACGTTTACACAGAACTGACAAAAGCCATACCATTGTCCCACCAATCTTAAAAAGCACAGATACATTAGTTATCTTTTGGGGGAGGGTGCTCCACTTGATTCCTAACGATTACTTATAGCAAATGATCAGAATGTTCCCATCCCCAAGGTGCAGTCCGAATCAACGGTCCATAAGTCCGGCAGCAACTATCTTATCCTTAGGGTGCCAGAACCCAATATGTTAAGTAAGCAGTCAGGTCATAGTAAATACGAGGACCTGTAGAGCCCTTCCACAGGAATGGACAACAAGGTGTAGGCTGACAGTTAGTCGGCAAAAAACGTACCGCGGGCACGAAGAGACCGCGGAAATGACGGATCCGCTGTTCCAGGTGATGGAAGATTACGCAAATTCTGAACACAATTGGTCCTTAAGGACGCTGCGAAGACGGCCTGGCTGATGGGTGTGACAGCACAAACTGCTATGTGGCTCTCAAAATGGTATGACATGCTAGTCTAAATAAACGGAAACGCAGAAGATAAAGCGGACCGGCCAAAGACGTCAGTACCAACATTGGGACGAGCAAGTGCAGCTGATACAAGTGGGGACAATGACTGCCGAATCTTAACTCGTCGCCACGACAACCGCCCCCTCCCCATACTCCCCCACTCCGCCGCGTAGCCTGCACGAGTGACCGCGTGGTGAGCGAGGCCTGTAAGACGCGGTACCAATATCACCTCCGAAGATGGAAGGTTGTACGCTCCGGATGCATTCCGTCAGATATCAGACAGTATCTGAGTTCGCCTCCCTTTTTCACCTAATTGTGTCCTCTGAATTAGGCAAGGGATAAATAACTCAATCGTCAGACGACGAAGTTAACTTTCGGAAGGGTGTCACCGGACGGCTTTTTCAAAAAGAACATTAACCAATATGAAAATTTGGGTAGCCATACTACCGGTGTGTGTGTAGGGGTGTCCAGCGGTGGGTTCAAGTGATGGTCGTAGTAGGTCGCTTACTTGCCTGCAGGTGCAAACTACGCCTAGCGTCCATTTGCTGGCACCCAGCTCTCACCGATGGCTCCCCGAAGCTAGGTTCAGATCAGCGGCCGCACGACCGGCGGGCTAAACCAAGTGAGGGTATCCGTGTGTGCATCTGTACACAGGGTACTGTGGTCTCCCGCTGGCCGAATGGATCTTCGCGTCGACATCTTCGAGACGAGGCTTTGCATGGACCATCGCAGGAGGCCACCAGGTAAGTGAATCCTCAGGTAAGTGAATTTTGCTCTGTTTCCTCCCTTACTTGCCTCACTTGCCTCCTTACTTGCCTGCTCAGTCCCGTGCTGTATGCTGCTCTTGTTGCCTGTTCTATATCCTTTGTCTGTGCCTGTCTCTGCTAATAGCTAGGTGATACTGTGCTTGACATCGAATGATGCCCTCCTACTTCTG